CTTGAATGTTTGTTTGTTTTATAAAAGCATGAAAGCAAAAAGGTTTCTTTTGTATCAAGAAAAATATGTCTCAATAATTATTAAATTTCCTTGATGTGTTAAACATACCGGCTGTGACAAAAATAAAAAAAAAATTTACATGTAAATTAAATGAGTAGAAAAATTTAAGCAGTACATAAATGAAAAAACAGGTAAAGAAATTCTCTAGCTACCTGTAATGGTCTGCAATGCCGGATGGAAACACTTGCTGATGTGTTTTTTGGTTGGATGTTCTTGGTGACAAATTCCGAGATCGTGGACGCGGTTGTCAGATTCCACGCTTGTTTCTCTAGCAAAACTAGGCCCTACAGCCAAGAGACTGTCTATGCTAAACGCCTTAGCCTTCGCGCTAAGCATTCTCCTATATATTTTGTCAACGTCTACATGAGCAGTAGTAACGAATGGTGTGTGGACCCCTAGATGACTGGATTGTATCTAACTAAAGGTAAGTGATGACTTAAAAATGACCAGAAAAGGATTATCTATTGCTCCTGTTTACTCTCCGATAATAAATGCTGTGATTGTTTTAACAGATCGCACCTGTGTACTAAAGATGACCCAGTGTCTGATACCACAAAGAAACCTCACGGGGAGGATTTCAGCACCATCTCTGTTCTAACAGATTTCAATCAAACAGTTGACTGATATTTACAATATAATTTAAACATTTAATCATGTTCATGGAACATTCTTAAATGAATTTATAAATGGTATCTTGAAGAATAAAGAACAACCAAAAATTTAATAGAAAAATACCCCTCCCCAAAAAAGGAAATGTTTCCTTTAATCTATTTTATTTATCTAAGGATATTTTATATTAATGCGATAAAAATCAAAGTAAAGAATATTAGCACTCGGAGCTTTTCAGACAAAACAACCAACCAAACAAACAAACAAAAAACAGAACAGAACAAAATTCTTACGCAAAATTTAATGATTTATGGAAAAAAAATCTTTCCCGCATTTTATTTTTTTGTTTTTTGTTTTTACCCATCTTTGTATCATGTTTTGAAGATAATTTGGATTTTTAATTTTATATAATAAACAAACTTGGAAATAGTTTTTTAAAAGCAAAATTGCCATGCTTATGAGCAAAAATAAAGATATTAAAATGAGTATTTGTATAACCGAGCTACTTGATACGAAATAAAATCTTACCTATTGATAACTGCTTATCCTTTTCTTGTGAAATAATTTCCCTCCAGTTTTCTTTGAATAATGTTGATATTAAGTGCAATTTCTTTTCGACTCATTTTGGTAAGGTTTATGTTAGGTATCATCAATGTGTGAAAGTGCAAGTGAAATGTCTTTGTAGATTTTAAATGTGAGTGTTTATTTGCTTAGAGTACTTCTTTTTCAGTATACCAAAACTGTCAATTACATCTGTTGTATAAAATCAATATGCCGTGCCATCTTACTGCAAGAACTTAATATCATATATTGTTTTAATGATGTCTGCAGCAGCTATAAAAGCATATCATCTTCAATGTAAAGAGAGCAAGAAAGCATCTTCAAGAACATATTCAGTAGTATACTTCTTTACTTGCTCCCATAGGATTAATAATGTGCAGGTAAAAGTATGTTTCTTAAGAAAAATTTCGAGCTATCAATTTAATGTCATTTACAAATGTAAAGGTTCCATTTTTCATAGACAAAACGTCAAGAATTGCTATTTATTAGAAAGATGCGATTCGCAAATTACGAATTGGCCATTGTATCATTAAAATATTGTGCAGTTTAAAATTTTCTTTGATTTAGCTTCCCTCTATTTTTGCTGTTTCTGAGTCACTTCCTCACAACTGTCATACCAGAGACACCTCAGCAGATTGTGACAAAATACAGCGATTATAAGGCGATCTGTAGTGGACTTGGATATAGAGATAGAACATGTCAAAGCAAAGGTTTGTAACTGATATCAAAGTCTTTTTCCTCAAGACAAAATGAAAGACTAATTGGTAAAGCGAAAAATGTTTCATATATGAAGTTTCTGAAAATACATAAAATATGCAATGCTTCCTGGTTTTCAGGTATTGCATTTCAAGCTGTGCTCATCAAGAGTATCACAAGTCTTGGGGTACAAAAGCCGGTAATATTTGAAAAGGTGACTCTAAATGAAGGTTCGGGTTATGATGCTACAACAGGAAAATTTACAGCCCCGGAGGACGGGCTATACTCCTTCAGCTGGAATGTGTTAGTTCTTTCAGGAAAAGCTTTTCACACAGAGATTGTCAAAGATGGTAAAATGGTCGCCCGAAATTACGCCGATGGGAAAATAGTTAAGAGTGGTTTGTACCTAGCAAGTTCCTCCACAGTTAATATCAAGTTGAAATCAAAAGAGAAAGTATGGATCAGAGTTCATTTAAATTTTGGTCAATACGTGTATGGTGATCACTGGTCTTACTTTTCTGGTTTTAGGATAAACTGATCCAATTTTTATCACATTCGATGCAACATGAAATGTAAATTATTTTCTTGACAATATAAATATTTAAATAAAACTTGTTGTTGTTATTGGTATTCATAATAAAAACTACAAACTTATAGCAATCCCTATTATTTGTAAGACTGCATGTTTTAATTAATATTCTATGCATTGAAAAATGATGAGTAGAAGTGTACTTCAGGGTTTCAATTCATTTTCGTGAATTGATATTATAATTTACAATTATCAAATGTATCTCTGTCAAAAACGTTTCACAAACAAATTGACACAATTCCTTTAAGATTGCATAAAGACGTCTTAACTAGGTTTAATAGTTGTGGTTGATTTAAAAAATCATTTACATCACCAGCAATAACCCTTTAACTATATTTTACTCGTTAATACGCCATCATTGAGCTTAAGTCCATAATGGGTGCTTATAAATAGCTTAAACGTTGGATTATATGTACTTATAGGTGGCATTTAAACGGTTTGTTCCCTTTTTTGCACACATTTGAATTTACAGGTAATTAAAAAATGCGTGCAAAACGGTAATTTGACCAGGTGAGATAATTACTTAATTGCTATATTCTATACCATACTTAGTAAGTAGGTGAAAGGTAAACTTATAGTGAAAAAAATAAGAGAATAAATACAAAGTTAATGTATTTTATATTTATTTTTTGATATATTTCATGAGCATAATACAATTGACGCACTGATTTATTTCATAAGTATAATACAATTGATAAATTGACACAATTATTTTTTGGATGAAGTGCTTACTATATGCAGCAGCAATCATGGATCGTCACTTTGATCTTATAGTTATTTGATGATCTTAACATCTTCTTGGCTTGGGCATTATTTTTCAAATTAATTTTTATTCTCTCTTTTCTTATTATTTGTTAATCATTAATTCATTTAGATTAAAAAGTTTTTTTTAAAAGAAATTAGACTTAATTAATAAGTAATAAATAATATTGAATAATTAATAATTTATTCAATAAAATCAAATATTTTCCCATAAATATATATAGAATTTTAATAAAATGCTTATCAAATTGTGTTAAACCTATTAAGAATACATTAAGCTAAATCAGGTATTCACAAATAAATCCAGGTACATGTAAATCCAAACCAAAAATCAGACTATAATTGCTATCAAAACACACTTCACACCTATTTTTTTTTTTTTTACCTAATTATCAAACGTGTGCAAAACGGAAACACATCATTTAAACGGTGTTTACGTCAATATTTATATATTAGTCAGAGATTTCTATCTAGTGTCACGGAGTATCGTTATGAGTTCGAATCTCTCAGCCAGACGTGAGACCAGTCTTTCGGACGAGATCATATAAATCCAGGTCATATGCGCAAAAAGGTGCTGGAATAAAAAGACCCCCACTGCTCAATGGCACTGTGTCCCGAGTACAGGTCAAAATTTGCTACTCTCTACCTGCAAATGGTGACATTTCAGTATGAGTGAAAAACTCTCTAAAGGGACCAATAAGCAAACAGAAAAATCCACCATTAAGCCGTTTACCAATAGGTCCTTTCTTAAAACCGTTCAAGCTTTCGTTAGGGAAACATTATACCGCCATTAGCCACCAACAAACAATAGCTAAACTACTTTTATTGGAAAAAATACTATTTGTATATTAAATTTGTGCAGATTATTGATGCCAGTGTAACGACGAAAAGTGACGTCCGTAGAATGATGATCCGGGGTCATTTTTCTACGTAGAAATTTGACCCCCTGGTCAATATTCTACGTAGAAAATGACCCACTTGTTAAAATTATGGCCTTAAGGTCGATTTTCGCCGCGTGCATTGTAGAAAAACTACCCCCATTGTCATTTTTTTATACAAAAGCATTCGTTTTGGTAGAAATATTCTTGTTAGGCGAATTTCAAGCCGCCCTATTATATGACTTTAACAACTTTAACAAGAGGCTCAGAGGCCACATCGCTGACCTGAGTACTGAGGTTAGGAAAAAATATGAAAAAAAAACAGTTTAGTATTAAAAAGCTGAAATGCATGAATAGTCCCTTTGATTCCCATCCTACCCCGGGGGTCATGATTTGAATAAATGAATCTACAATACCAGAGGATGCTTTCACATGGGTTTCATTTTCCATGGCCCAGTGGTTCTTGAGAACAAGATGTTCCCTTTTTATTCCTATGTTAAACTTTGGCTTCTTATCATGGTCCCATCCTACACCTTTGGGTCATGAGTCATGAGTTGAATAAACTTGAATCTACAATACCAGAGGATGCTACCACATGAGTTTCATTTTTCCTAGCCCAGTGGTTCTTGAAATAAAGTTTTATTTTTCAAAAAGTTTTTTATCCCTACTTTTAAAACTGGCGGAAAAGAGAGCGCTAGCTTAGAAAATTAGATCTGTTTTGCCAAGTTTTATGGACTTTGAGACTGAATACTGTTCGTTATCTCCATATCCATCTTATAGAAAAATATTTGGTTTTCTATGAAGGGAGTTTTAAACGTCTCATAATAAATAAGGATGATGTAATTTGTAAAAATAAGTACTAAATTAAATTACCTCTGACCTATGATACCAAAGAAACAAAAAGAGGTTAGCTAAAAACCTGTAAAATGTCTTTTGTCGTTTACGAGTGTCACCAAAACCTTAACAAAATAGTGCAAAAAAGTGCTCGTCTTTCCAAAAATTGGCATATGTAGTATCGTTTTCCCTGATCAACATGAACTTACATAATTGTGATGATTTTAGGAATTTTTTTATCAATAAAAAATGTTACGTTATGAAAAAGTTGTTGCTTTACAACTATACTTATGCCCCCGTGAACGAAGTTTCGGGGGTATATAGTATTTTACCTGTCCGTATGTTTGTCCACAAAAACTTAAACCTTGCCCAAATCTTTTGAATGCGTGGGACGATGGCTTTTATATTTCACAGGTGTATTTTTGTGACAAAATCTTATTTTGGGGTAAAACCAATTTTACTTTTTGACCTTGACCTTGGAGTTTAACACACTTTTTCAGAAAGATTCCAAACTTTTACTTTGGCATTAACTTTTGGACAGTATGTGCTATGACTTTAGATGGCATGTAAGTAATGTAATCTAAGTAATGGCATGATAGATTAAAAGTTCATTTGTATTTGCAAAGTTAGTGTCTATAAAATCTCAGAAGAAAGGGGATGTTACAGCAATCATTTGTTAGGTGTCTGTGGGCTAAAAAGTGTTGAAACGGAAATTTTTCAATGAATTTATAGATATGTCTAAAGGTTGAACTTTTATTCACTCAGATGTAAATTTTTGCCCGTTTTGGAGGATTTTTTTAAATATCATAATTAGAAAGTTCTCTATGTGTATGGTATTCCCCATATATACAGGGAAAAGTAAAGTATACCATATAATTATAAGGTTGTAAAAAAGTATGTATTTTAAATCAAAATGCTTACAGATATATGTAAGTTTAAATGTAGGAGTTGAGGGGATTGAATTTATAAGTTAAACTACGGTGCTTTTCTTGCTTCTTTGCTATATTTTTGGATTAATCAAAAAATTCAAAGTTTATGAGAAACATATCATGCCATTTTCGGAACAAAACATATGAATGATAAAAAAAAACAGCCAAAAATTTAATCATAAATTTATACTACTCAATGATAAATATTCATTGGGATTCTAAAGCCAAACAATCCATACCAGATACCTTGATTGGGATGCAAGGATTAAAGTACATGAAGAAATCCTCCTCCTTACATTTGAAAGTATGAAAAAGTATCAGGAGACACAGATATCAGGTTTTATTGTATAAAAACGTAGGGGGTCAAATTTCTATGGGGGTCATTTTTCAACGTGTGTGAAGTCGTAGAATTGATGGTCTGGAATGTTTTTCTAAGGTCGGAAAATGACCCTATTTGTCGTAGAATATTGACCCGAGGTCATTTTTCTACGTAGAAAAATGACCCCGGTCAATATTCTACGGGGGGTCACTTTTCGTCGTTACAGCGGATCTACGCATATGGTCATTTCTAAATTCAGCTTATTAAAAAAAAAAATCTTTTAAATATTCTCAGATTGAATAAATCATCCGACCATCTATTTTAAAGTCGAGTTTTTTTTATTCTCGTTTTTTTCGTATTCATTTCCATAAACATACATAAACATACATTTATAGGAAAGTCGTATTACCTTCAGTATTATTTGGCTGTGAGTTATATTATGGAACAACTTTAAAACACGCAATCTCTGTAAGCACGAAAAAATCTTGGAAACGACATGTCTCGGATTTTGATGAAATTTTCACCATAGATGTGTCTTGGCACAAAACTAGTAAATATGGTGTCGGAAGTTCCACACGTGCACTTGGTTGCCATGCAGAAAGATCCATTGAATTCGGCCATTTTTGGACCATTTTGACAAAAAGAACACATGAAAATTGAGGAAATGTAAATGAATATTTATCGGTATCTAATACACTCTAACAAAAATCATTGGATCATATCATAACATGACCTTTATAAGGTACACAGAGCATATAATCGTTTATTCTAGAAATATTCTTCCTGTACATGTAAGAAAAAGGTCATGCAAAATGACATGGTTTCTAAAAATATGAAAAATGGGGTTGGAATTTTGAGATCTTTGAGAATTTCCCAAATCTTATATGTGTTATTATACTCGGGAATAAGTAGTTTCATTTCATGAAAAAACATAAGTGGGCTTTTGCCCCTATTTTTAGTAACATATATCTATGAATAGATTTATTTTAGAAAAATGTGAAAAATCAAATTTTGGCAAAGTTTTGTCATTACTGCATAATTAGAACATATGTTGTAAAATTTGAAATTTGATTGACAAGAGCTGGACACCACTAGCTGGTATGAATAACGGTTGATGGTAATTCCCATTTCTATTTTTAGTAACAGGTGGCTAAATATAGATATATCTCTGAATATTAGGGAAAATGGCATTTTTGTTCTAGTTGGAAGCTTCATATAAAATATTAAGCTTTCTACAATATGCTTTCAGAATGTACATGTGTTTGTTCAAA